GGAGGAGCACACTGCTGCAGGACGCTCTGTGCTCTAGTAAATTCAGGGGTGCAGGCTGCTTTCAGCTTGAACCAGTTTATAGCTCCGACCTGGAGCACCAGGACACTCATCCCAGTGTAGCCCCTCCTCTGTGGCTGTCAGGCAGAATCACTGCAGCCTCCAAGATCAGCTGGCTCTCAGCCACCGATATGAAATCCCTCTGCCTGGCTGCACACAAAGGTTTGGTGGGGTACAGCTGGCCACAAGCCAGGCTTCCCCTCTGCTTACCAGTCCCACTTTGACCTCACTTAGACTCAGCTCAAGCTATTTTGCTTCTGCACGTCTCCTCTGCTCATATAATATGGCAAAATTTGGACGCTATGTTATCCACAGTAGTACAAAGTTCGATAAAAGACCTCACCCTGTGTTCCAGTTCCTTTCAGAGCCCTGAGACCTATATTGCACAAAAAAAAGCAAGGGCAGGGAACCACCTACAGCCACTTATTACACATTATGAATTTCTTTCCATTTTGAAAAACACTTCCTTTTTCAAAAAGCCACCTTCCGCCCCCTCCCTGACAGCTATTGATTCCATAGACCAAAACAATAATGTGCACCTTGCTGCAGTGAACTTATGAATGCCTAATTCTGAACAGGAAAATGTCACAGACCTCCACTCACAGGCAGGGCTTTGAACTAAAATGTATATCCTGTCTCTTCATCTGTGGTTTCCTGCAGGGGTACATTTACTCCCTCCAAAATTCACTATTAATTTAAGCATTGTTAATGATACCCAGCTTCTTGCTGGCAGAGAGAGGAGGATGCAATTGTCCATTTTGTTTCCCAGGAGGTCCTTGAATGGCTGTGACAAGCACCAATAATAGGACTTAGATAAAAAGAGAAGTTGCTAACTTTGTCCCAATGAATCACAGTTATAATTTCCTTGAAAGATGAAAGGATTGTTAAACTGACTGGGAATACAAAGCAACCCTCCTCAGATTGAACTGAATCATCTTTGCCCATTTCAACTGTATTGTTCCTTTTCTTCTCTGTGTATGAGAGAGTCCTAACATTTCTTGCAAGTAGATGACTCTCAAACCGTGCCTTAAGTGACACAGATGCTGATTTGTATGAGCATTAGGTGCACTGAGAACCTGATCCTTGAAGATGCATAAAGATGCAGAAATGCCTAGTGGCATTTTTCTCAAATGTCCAAGGTTACAAATTCTCCTGGACTATCATTTCCAATATATGAAAATCAAACTGTCAGTAAGATTCTGACCACAGTGGCTCTTACAGAGGGCTGTACTATTCTACGAGAAAATCTCTATAACATTACATTCTTATTACGCATTTCTGGATAAGTCTGGATTTTGACCTGTTTAAAATCCCAGGATTCCTATCAGAAGATAAACTCCTCCAAATTAGAGACCTTTGCAATAGGACCATTATGTTTCTTTTAGAAGATTACAAGAAAAGTTGATTCTGCTGAATATAAAGAACCTGTGTTTGTGGAAAGGGACACATTTCCCCTTAACAGCTTCAACAATTCTTATTCTATAATGATTAGGAACTTTTTAATGGAGCATATTAAAGAAGTAAGAGAAATTTTAGATTTGCTACTACTTTCCATTTTCGGCTTCAAACAAAGGCATTCTTGGTATAGCAGCTTTCAGCCACAGGGGATGTAGCATCAGAGGATGCTGACAGGAGAAATTGCCAGAGTATGAAATAATCTTTCCCCAGGGAGGAGAAACCAAGAAAAGAAGTTCACGTTTTTGGTCTTTGCGATAGTAGAGCAAGGGAAAACTTGTACTGGGCTAGAGAAATTAAACGAGGCCTTAAAAGAAACAGTCTAAGGGCTCTTCTTGGGGTGCTGAGAAAATCTGTAGCCTCTGCATAACAAAATTAAGGACCTAAGCAACTGTCAGGCAAGAGCTTGGAAAAAGCAAGAGAAATAGGGTGAGAAGATGTCAATGCAGGAGAGTAAATTCATTTAACTGCTAGAAAAATAAAATGTGGGAGGTATTCCTGGGATAAGAAGCACTTGAAGTCAGAGAAATTCACTGTAATGTGAGATTGAAGCCTGTAATAGGTTTTGTGTTCCCATGAAAGACACATGATCAGAGCAAACTGCTGTAGGCTGTCTTGCTTCATGGATAATTTCTTTGTATTTAATTGCTTATTTCACTACTTGACGACACATTTTCTTTCACTGGTATTGGTATGGGATTGTTAAAAAGTTGTCTGGATTTCCAAGAGGAAGCTGCATGCACATTGTGTTTATGGGTAGTTACACTTATCAGGATTAATTTTGTTATCATGCAGACTTAATTCAAAATACATAAGAGGAAGACATTATTCAACAACTAATAGATGTTATACCATCAACATATTCTAATGGGCTGATTAGCAATTTTATTGTATTCAATTTGCAGCGTGGCAATTCCGTGTCAGGTGGAAGAGCTATCAAAATGAAAAACTGCATTAAAATTAAAAACCAATAGTCCAAGATTCAGTCTGAATGAGCTTCCTGGTGGAATGATGAAGTGCCGTTATCTGTGAGTCTGCCCTAGATACCTGGTAAAAATAGACTGTGGAAATCCTTGGATAAAGGTCGATAAATTAGTTGGGTTTGGTATTTCACACACAAAATTAGTAAATATGCCACTGGGGTTTTAAGGTTTCTTTTTTTAGTCCTCTCTGAGTAAAATATTGAAGAGATCAACTCAGTGCATTTCTGTTTGGAGGACCTTTTGCCCTGCATTTAAAAACAGACTGGTTTGTCTACTTCTTTCTAAAATACAGAGACGGAAGTAATAGTTTGTTGTCCTTTGCTTCTTGTATTCACACCTATAAAGCAGCCACTTCACTTACTGGCAAAAGAAAGAAAAATATACGCTGAAAATACAACCAAACTGTGCTTCCTCTTAGAGCATTAGTTTTTCTGTCACTGGGGAAAACACTAGGATTTTTCATGTATCCTCCTCAGTCCTTCACAAAGCCCAGGCAAAGTCAAAGCTCCTGCCTAAAAGCCAGCTTGAGTCTTGAAGGGAATGGGTAACACCACACTTACACACCCAAATGTGACAGGGAAGCCTCTTCCCTCCTAAACTTCTTCAGAGCCCCTGTGTGCTTCCCCTGTCCCCATGTCCTCACAGCTTGCTTCCACCTTGTTTGCACTAACACAACTGTTTGTGAAGGTGCACTTTGACATCTCGGGTCACCGAGATGATCCAGTTAAAAATAGCGCTCCCGAAGGTACAAGAGAGAAGATGGATTTGCAGCAGGTGCAGGTACTGCTACCATCCTCTGCCCTTCTTGCCCCTAGCAGGGACACTGGCAAGTCTCTGTGGCTGCGGCACTGCCAGCCCTGGTGCTAAGGCAAACCAAAAATTGACAGCAGCTTATATTAGCACTCGAGCTGTAAACTCAGAATGTGACTTTGCCACCATTGAACTAGTAACTAATGGACTAATGAAAGGGACAGTGCCCACTGCTGCCAGTCATGTGGCCCTGCCACCTCTGCAGGGAGGGACAGGTCACCCTGCTGACCTGGTGGAAAAGGACTTTTCTCTCTTTGCAGGATGAGCTTTAAGCTACATCAAGGCCCAGCTCCCACTCCCTGTGTAGCTGCAGGGTGAGCAGGGCCAGCAGCAGCAGAGGGGCACCAGGAACACGCAGCCGGTCGAAGGAAGGCAGGATCATCCCTTTGGGAGGGAATGTGGTTTTAGGTCAGTTTAATTCAATTGCACAGCTGTGGAGAGGACACTCAGCCCATCGTCAAGTCCTCCCTAGTGACAGTAACTACTAGATGAAGGCCTCAGCAGGCAAGAACTGCCTCAGTCCTGGGTATTAAACCCATCAGGGGTGATAAGACAGACCCCCAGGCACGCACATAAGCATGCACAATGTTGAGAGGCTGTTTGTGTGATCAAAATTTTTCCACTGTATGTTTTTGCATATACTTTGGCACTTTATCTCATGGAGGCAGTGGAGAAGCATCCTGCCTGACACAGCCCTGACTTCTAGGAATGAAAAGCCTGGATGAGCCCTGCTGAGCCAGGCTCCCTGCAGCCTGCTGAAGGCAGTGTGAAATGCTGCCCAGCATGAGCAGTGCTGCTTTACACCCCCTTAGCAAAATCGCGGTAGAGGATGCAGTGCAGTGAAGCTTGAGGTGCTCTGTGCTTGGAGAAAGCCTTGGATGAAGAGGGAGGTTGCATGTCTGAACACACACAGTCTTGTTATAGTCCCGTAGCCACAAAAGAGATGAATTAACTAAAACAGAAGCTGCAGCAAAGTGGAGGACAAATTCTGAGAGCCAAAGTGCTCTGAACATCATCTGACATCCTTTTAAATCTTATTTGGAACTAAAATATTCTCTTCTTTTTTTTTTTCCTCCCAATGAAAAACATGTTCTATTGTTACTTAAATAGCATATATTTCTGTAATAGCCTTTTAATGCGGAGCTGTTTTTCTTTAGGGCCTTGAATATATGCAAATGCAAATGAAGAAAAAAGCTGAAGTATAAAGGAAGCACGGTAGTCTGGAAAAAACGGAGGGGCGAGTAACTGTAAAGCTCAACTGGCAAAGCAAGCTTATTAGGCTTTGGGGGGAGGAAGTGGGGGTTATTAAATGCCTAGTGTCTCATCCTATGTGAGTATAACTACCTTATTGCAGTGGCTCTGCAGAAGTCAGAATATGTGAAGGAAGCAACCTCCACTGAAATCAGTGATACAAATCAGAACATTTCCATTCCCTCAGCTGTGATGCCATCCGACTCCAAAAGCGCTGTTTAAATATGAATGGCATTCTGTTTATGTGCGTATTAACAATATGTATACCCATAAAAGCTTGCAGAAATGCAAATATTCCTCTGCATATGAGTGTCTCCCACTGAGGCTGCCTAGAAAAATAGCATGGGGACACAAATTGGTAACAATAAGTACAGCTGAAGCCAATAATGAGGTAAAATACATATGCATGTGTGAGGGGAGTAAAACCTTGGCTCTGAATCACGTGCCTCTTAGCGTCTGGTGATAACAATTCCCCAGTGCCTCTGCCTCTCTGTCATCGGCTGCACTTGTGACAGGGGATCCCTCCTTCTACTTCTAACACCTCGGGTGAGTGTCCATTTTACATGACAGAGGCTGCCAAAGCAAATGGGCTAGGAACGGCTTTGCCGCACATGCGCAGGTTTAAGCAAATACAGTGATTATGCTGAAATTTGCTTAAAATGAAGATGCCACTGGAACGTAGGAAAGGGTACACAAATGGAAAACCTGCTCTGCAGTGTTAAATGGACAGATCCTGTCTGATCAATAAATGCATTAGCGCTGCCCAGTTTACAGCAACATCCTACGCGCTCGCTTTTAAGGGAGAGCTCAATAAGAGACAATTCCCAGTATGGAGGTTTACGGGTTTATGTGCCCTGTTATTTCTGCTATATTATTACTAGGAGGGTCATGAAAGGTTCCCATGACATTTCTGTATGTAGGGTGTGCTTTTTCCAACTCATCTGCTGGTTTAGTCTAGTGTCCCTAGCTGTGCTGGAAACTCTGACTAGATAGATTCTGTTCTAGCCAAGAGATCTCCAAAGCATTATTTGTGAACATTCATTCAGAGAAAACTTTAAAATCTGCCTATAGTTGTTTTTCACCAGCATTTGCACAGTGATAGCACTGCTTTTGCCAGAACATTGGTGGAAAACACAAACCTTGCAAGGGTTCATGTGAAAGTGTCTGCATGCAAATTCTCAGAGGAGGGATTTTCCTTCCTCTAATTGCTTTTGCTGGTTTTGCCATAGAAAGGGTAGAAACGATCCCCAGTGAACACACTCAGCAGGGGATTTCTTCCTATCACATATCTCTGAATTCTCCCCACCTCTCAGACCGCAGCATATGACTAGTCCTATGCCTTTGTGCCAAATTTCTGCTAAAGTTTACCCAGCTTTCAGAAACCAAGCTGGAAACAGGTCATTAGACTACTTTCACAAGGGTGAGACACAGCTTTTTGGTTTAGCTGGAGAACAGTTAAACAGAAGAAAGTCTTCTGAGTGACATTTCACTGGAGAACTCCCTGAAATCACTTCTCTTCTGAGCATGGGTAATTTGAGCCAAAAACCTGAACCTCTGAAAAGATGGGATTTTGTGTATAAAGAGAGAAATTAAACTATTTGCAGTTTAAACTGCAACACTTACAAGCCAAACTAGTTATGGAGGATACAAACAGATGCAATACTTTTTAATTAGTCTTTGTCTGGGTTAGTTTGTATTTGTTCCCTGTACAACAGGCCATCATTCCACCTGCAGTGAGAAATATTTTGGTCTTTGTAGTGACCTGAATCTTTCTGCTGTAACCCGTGTTTAACTCTGAAATTCTACTGGACTGGAAATTTGAGGTGTTTTTGCTTTTTCCCCTGAAGTGTTATCTTACTACCTTGCACTTAGAAAACTTCCAAATTGTGCAGATCACCTAAGAACAGAATTGATAATTATGTGAGCTATCATGGGGATTTGACTGTTGCTTTGACAAAAGAGATATTAAGCTCTGCCAGGCTGTAGAACTGAGAAGTTCTGGTGCGTTAGGAGGTACAGAGTATTACCTTTGCTTTCTTCCCCATTCTTTCTCAACCTGACCTCCAGAACGTCCAACCAAGCAGCTGTGAATCAGGCAAAGTGCCCATGCAGTTGAATAGGAATTTTGCTCAAGAACAACAGGATCAAGCATCTCTAATGATGCAGGCTAAGATTACCTAGGATTCAGAGAAATGTCCAGCTCGAACAGGGGCCAGATATTACAGTTAAGATGCTGACTTATAACAACAGATATGTTGCCCATTCTGACATCCTGCCTTGGGCAGGTCCCTGCTTTTTGGGATGCACACAACCTGCTTGACTGGGTACTCCTGAATCAGAGGACAGCCACCTCTCATACCGCCACTGTCATTGCCATCCTGACCAAAACTTCACCTAATTCCCTAGCAGCCTGGTTACATTTTTGGCCAAGAGCACACCAGGTAACAGCAGCAGTGAATGTCTCCAAACATGTACAGAACTTGACCAATGTGTCTATCTGTAGCAAAACCCTGCTCTGAGGTTTAGCTTCACCTATTTTTATTTTTTTTTCAATTTCCATAACTAGTTTGCTGATTTCATGCCATTGTGGGGTGGTTATTTTGAATTAAAATGTGCTTATGTTCTTCAAGGCACTTAGTAAGAAAGATTTCTAGATTCCCTGGGGAAATGTAGCTTTTCCAAACCTTTTTTCTCAAGTTTTGGTCATGGATGGGATTTCTTAATCTGGCTTTAGTAACCAGCAGATGTGGCCAGTAGGCACATCAGTAGCAGGGAATGTTGCTGTGTGTGGCTGTAAGGTGCAGCTGAATCCTTGCTGGCAGCACCAGTGCAGTGAGGCATGCCTTGTGTCCTGCTTTGCTCTTCAGTTTTCTGGAAGGAAGTTGTCCTGGGTTCAGCAGTAGCAGTCATGTTTGTTTTTTTTTTTTCCTTTGTGCTAGCTGGTGCAGTGCTGTGTTTTGACTTCCAGCCTGAGAACAGTGTTGGTGAAGTCAATGTTTTCAGTTGTTGCTAAGTGATGTTTACCCTGACCAAGGACTTTGTGAGGCTCATGCTCTGCCAGGGAGGAGGGGAAGCCGGGAGGAAGCAGAGATGGGGCGCCTGACTCGGGCTAGCCAGGGAGGTATTCCATACCACAGCACGTCATGGCCGGGGTGGGGGGTGACTGGGAGTTACCTGGAAGGACACGGGGCTTCCGGGTGGAACTCGTCTTCTTGGCCGGTGGTATCGTATTCTCTTCCCTTGTTATTTTCCCTTATCATTGTTGTAGTTGATAGTTGCGGTGGTGATTTGTGTACATTGGTTGCTGGACTGTTCTTGTCTCAACCCGTGGGAGTTGCACTCTCTCGATCCTCCTCCCCGTTCCTCTGGGAGTGGGGGAGAACCCCGGTGGGGGGGGAAGGGGGGGGGGGGGGACACGGACCTCGATTGTTGTCAGCTCGGCACCACTCACTGGGAGTGAGTGAACAAGTTACCTGACTGGGTTTAAACCACGACAGAAGTAAACTCTCTTGCTGCTGCAGCTAGTGATTTGTGTTGACTGCTTTCATGTGGTGTTGTCTCTTTCCAACTTGGGGTATGGCTAAAACTCTGAAAGCTGGAGTGATTTAATTACAGCTGTAGAGAGAGCAAATGAGAGCACGCTCTCAGTCATAACCCCTACAGTTGGGATGATAAAAGGATTTCCATTAGCCCCTTCTTTTCCATCTCAGTAAAGTCAGAATAAAATCTTTCACTCTCTTTGAATAGTCTTAATTAAACCAGTGCAGCTTCCAGGATTTTAGCTGTAACCCAAGTTGAGGGGCAATCCCTGCAGAGAGCATTCTTGCCACTGAAAGCTACTATCATCAGACTAAGAAATAGCCTCTGAAAACCAGAATGATCAATATACATTGGCATAATTTTGCTCTTCATGGAACAGCTACATGAAATGCTGAATCTAATTGGCCCCTGGAATACCGGTATTATACATTTGTGTCTAGGCTGTAATCAAGCCACAGAATCACAGAATCCCAAGGGTTGGAAGGGACCTCAAAAGATCATCTAGTCCAGCCCCCCTGCAAGAGCAGGGTAACCTAGAGTACATCACACAGGAACTTGTCCAGGCGGGCCTTGAATATCTCCAATGTAGGAGACTCCACAACCCCCCTGGGCAACCTGTTCCAGTGCTCTGTCACTCTCACAGTAAAGAAATTTTTCCTGATGTTCACATGGAACCTCCTATGCTCCAGTTTACACCCATTACCCCTTGTCCTATCACTGGACATCACTGAAAAAACCTAGTTCCATCATCCTGACACTCACCCTTTACATATTTGTAAACATTGATGAGCTCACCCCTCAGTCTCCTCTTCTCCAAGCTAAAGAGTCCCAGCTCCCTCAGCTTCTCCTCATAAGGGAGATGTTCCACTCCCTTAATCATCTCTGTAGCTCTGCACTGGACTCTTTCAAGCAATTCCCTGTCCTTCTTGAACTGTGGGGCCCAGAACTGGACACAATATTCCAGATGCAGCCTCACCAAGGCAGAGTAGAGGGGGAGGAGAACCTCTCTTGACCTATTACCCACACCCTTTCTAATGCACCCTAGGATGCCATTTGCCTTCTTGGCCACAAGGGCACATTGCTGGCTCATGGTCATCCTCCTATCCACCGGGACCCCCAGGTCCCTTTCCCCTTCACTACTGTCCAGCAGGTCAGCCCCCAACCTGTACTGGTACATGGGCTTGTTCTTCCCCAGATGCAAGACTCTACACTTGCCCTTGTTGAATTTCATCAAGTTCCTCTCCGCCCAACTCTCCAGCCTGTCCAGGTCTCGCTGAATGGCAACACAGCCCTCTGGTGTGTCAGCCACTCCTCCCAGTTTAGTATCATCAGCAAACTTGCTGAGGGTACATTCAGTTCCCTCATCCAGGTCGTTGATGAAAATATTAAACAGCACTGGTCCCGGCACCGACCCCTGAAGGACTCCACTAGTCACAGACCTCCAGCTAGATTCTGCCCCATTGACCACAACTCTCTGCCTTCTTCCTTCCAACCAGTTCTTGATCCACCTCACTACCTGATCATCAAGCCCACACTTCCTTAGCTTATCTATGAGGATGCTGTGGGAGACAGTATCAAATGCCTTACTGAAATCAAGAAAAAACACATCTACCGCTCTACCATCATCCATCCACACAGTTACTTGCTCATAGAAGGCTATAAGGTTGGTCAAACATGACTTCCCCTTGGTAAAGCCATGTTGGCTGCTCTTAATGACCCCCTCATCCTTGATATGCCTAGAGATGGAGTCAAGAATAAGTTGTTCCATCACCTTTCCAGGGATGGAGGTAAGCCTGACCGGTCTATAATTACCCAGGTCCTCCTTCTTGCCCGTCTTATAGACTGGAGTGACATTTGCCATCCTCCAATCCTCAGGCACCTCTCCTGTTTCCCACGACTTACCAAAGATGATGGAGAGTGGCTCAGCAATGACCCCCGCCAGCTCCCTCAGCACCTGCCGGTGTATTCCATCCAGATCCATCGATTTATAGATGTCCAGATTGCTT